ATTATTGGGTGTAGAATTGGAGATTTTAGGGTGCGAGACTAAAATCCTCAATTCGATCTTAGTGTTTAAGAACTAAAGCTAGAATTAGCCTTAGCTAGAAAACTAAAGCTAGAATTAGCCTTCAGGTGAAGGGAAGTGGGAACTCTGGAGTGGGAGCCAGTATCCTCCTAGCCTAACCACAGATTTAGGGACTAAACCTGGGATTAGTCAATGGTTTTCTCTAACACTGTATCAGAATAGAGAATTAAAACTGCTCCTATTTGGCACAATACATATTAAAATCATTTATCTCAACTCATTTCACCAAAATATCATTGTAGTGAGAATAATGCTTTTTCACATAAGAAAATCTTCATCACATAGACATAGTTACATAGCATTATAGTTTATTAGTTTAGTAATTACTGTTTTAAACATTACATTTTAGTTTTGCTACGATTTAAATAGTTTAGTTTTGTTAGCATCTTACACATTCAAAATTAGGGACAGTAATTTCGTTTGATTTCTATTAATTTCCTAGTTAATTTATCATTTCAAATTTAAACCTTCCCCGTGGGATCGATATTCGGGGCTTAAATAGAATTTCCTTTTTTACTTGATAATGATATGTATACTTGCATAGAATCCCAACATTAATTTCTTAAATTTCTTAATCATTAATATTGCATCAAGCTTTTGTCACCATTACATAGAGGAGTCAATCTTATATAAATTTTACACAACTATATTTCACCGGGATCATGTTTTTGGCGCCTTTGCCCAGGATTAAAATCTTCAAGTAGTAGTGTCAACTTCATAAATCCTTACATATAAAAAAATATCGGGATCAGTGCCTCCTCTAACACTCACGCTTAGGATTCTAATTTTACTGGTTGTAAAATCTCTAAGCTATCTATCAATTATCTTGGGGTCAACATTCTTAGAGGCAGAACATTCTTAGAGGCATTCTTAGAGGCAGAACTAAGCAAACTTAGATGGATGATGTGATTGATAAAGTTAAACTCAAGATCAATGACTGGAAAAATACTTTTCTTTCTAATGCGGATAGGCTCATTTTGTTGAAAAGTGTCCTATGTACACTTCCTCTCTACGCTATGCAAGTTCTCAAAACTAATAAAAGCACTCAAAAAGTCTTGAAACTATTTTTAACAAATTTCTTTGGAAGGGCTCTAGATCTTCTAAGAGTTGGATTGGTTGGCAGTATAATTGCAAGCCTCTTTATGCTGGTGGGCTTTGGTTTAAAACTCAACAACAAACTATTGATATTAACATGTGTAAACTTTGGTTCAAGATTCATTAGGGGGAGTCTTTATGGGGTAAGTTTATGCTTCATAAGTATTTTAAAACTTTACATCCCTCTACGGTGCATTGGAGAGTGGGGGATTCTAAGCTTTGGAAGGCCATTATCTCTACACGTGATGTTGCTCCTCATTTTATTTTTTGGTACTTTAGGGATGCAGGTATTTCTTTCTAGAATGATTAATGGGGTATTTCTACGTATTCTACTTTGCCAACCTCAGGTTATGATGCTAACCTGCTTGTCTCTGATTGTTGGATTGATGGTGTTTGAATTTAGCAATGCTGAATTCATTTGTTATTTAATTAGCTCCTTCCATTGACACTACCACTATTTGTGCTCAATATAAGGATGTTCCTCCCTGAAAGCATCATACTAGAACCTCTGTTACTAAACTGCTTTACACGAAATTGCACACATTTACTCCTTGGAAATGACATGTTTATACTTGGCATAAATATATTTCTCCTTCTATATCCTTTTTCCTTTGGAGATATTTTTATAATTTTCTTCCTCTTGATGATATTCTTTAACTGAAAGGTTTGAAACATGCCTCTTATTGTTATAACTATAAAATGGATGTTAAATCAATTAATCACTTGTTTTTTGATTGCCCCTTCGCTAAAGAGGTTTGACAACGTATTGGGTGCTACTTTGGTATTATCTGGCCCTTAAATTTGACTCTTAAATCTGTTATTGGGACTTGGAAGGATTTTGATCCTTCCTTCAATAAGTACTTTTATTTTCCTCTTATTGTCTTATGGTTCATCTGGATGGCTAGCAATAAGCAAAAATATGAAACACCTTCTCACACGCCCCCCATCATATCTACTTTAGTTGTGGCTTATTTTCACAAGGCTTAGAAGTTATCTAATGGTCAGGCTGCCTCTCCTACTATGGGTAGGGGTAGGAAACCCACTTTGATTAAATGGGCACCACTCCCCCTTGGCTGGTTTAAAGTTAATATTGATGGGAGTTGCTCGATTGCCTATACGGGTATGGGAGGGCTCATTCGAGATGATTACAGTAAGCGCATTGCTTATTTTTCCTCCCCTTGTATTGTTAATTCTTCTCTGGAGGCAGAGACTAATGCAGTGCTTGCTGCACTTCAAACTGTTGCCTCTCTTAATTTAAATGACATTGTGTTGGAAATTGATTCTGAAACATTGTTTAACATTCTAACGACTAAGCTCAAACCTCCTTGGTATATCATATCATTTTTTAGAAGGATTTGACATTTTATTGAGAGGCAACACCTAAATACACTTTACTTCTTTACTTATAGAGAGGGGAACCAAGCTTCGGATTGTTGGCAAAATGGAGAGTGCAAAGTGCTATTGTTGGGGATACTCCTCCCTCTTTGTTGCACATTCTTATTCAAAGTGATTTGGAAGCCCCTTATGTTAGATTTTTTTTACGGTTCCCCTTTCTTTCGATTTCTATTTGAGCTTAAAGTGGCAGGTTCTGGACAGATTTTCTTTATTTCTTAGATGGATGCTGGGATTTGTTGTGCTAGCTGAATATTGGTCATAACTTTATTTCGCTAGAACTCTTATTTGGCCAGGATTTTTGGGGTGTTCTAAGGGAAAACCCTTACTTACTTTTATGTATGCTACCTCATTTTTTGGATTTTAGTTTTTTTACTTTGGGTTTACTGTGGGAACTTTTAATTAGCTGGACTGGGGATTTGCTTTGCCAATTGGAAGGATGATGGATGCTTGTCTTAGTTCAGGCAATTTATGCTGGATACTGGGCTAAATTTAGTTTTGCTCAGCTTGTTTTTCTCTTTTGGGCAGGTTTTTTTGTAGTGCAACTATCACTTATAATTCTATTGTTCTTAGTTGATACTTCTTTGGGCTTTATAATTTTGTTATAGGCCATCACTGTCTGGATTTCCCCTCTGCTGGAAAGATTTTTTGGCTAACTATCTGTTTGTTGGAAACTGATTTTAGTGGAACTGCTTCGGAAACCCCTGATTTATTCTTGGCTTTTTGGAAGGATGTTGGATGTTTGTTTTAGTCCAGGATGAGTTTGCTGGAAACTGCTCTGAGTTGGGTTTTACCTGGATGGGATTTCTTATTTGAACAGGATATTAGTGGTGTTGTAGTCTTTAATATATTTACTATTCTACTTTGTTGCTGCTATGGGAATTCTACTTCTATTTATGGATCTTACTGCCTGCCTCACTTTGTCTTGGAAGGAAAATTCCTTACTGTTTGCAGGATTAGTCTGAGCTTGTTGTTGCTCTCTCTGGACATAGTGCACACAACTTTGATTTTGCTCTCCTCTAACACAATTGACATTGGTTTTGGTTTACATGTAATTTTTTGGAATATGTTTTCTTTCAGTATACATTTTGTGGTTATACATGTATTTCTGCATTATTTTGCGCGGAGTTGTACTGTGGATAGTGGAACCCTTAGGAACATGATGTATTTTTTTGTTTATAGATGGTGATCCACTATTCCTTCCCAATCTTATAATATTGGGCTATGATGGAACTGCTTGGAGGTGCTTTGGACTTGTGTGAAGCTTGCTTCTTTAAGATCTCCCTCGGGTTGGTGGCTTTGGTTGTTGCTTAGGAAGTTGTGGTTTCTAGTTTGTGTTACTGTTCCATTGATAAAGTTGTTGGTTGCTTCTGGGTTTTCGTGGGGCCTTCCCTTCCTTGTTGGTTTTCTTGGCTTTCAGTTCTGGTTCATATTTTTTGAAGCTTTAAATTTGCTTCTCTCTTCTGGTTGGGTTTTGGTCTTTACTGTTTGACGTTTTTTCTCTCTTCCCCTATTCTGGTTGTCCTCATGGCCTACCCCATTGATGTGGAAACCAATGCTCAATGGACTAAGACCACCTTTGCTGAAGTTGTGGGTAGTGGCTTGGATGTGCCTAAATCCTTTGAACACCTGGTTTTCCCTCAATGTTTACATGATGCTGCTGCTGGAAGTGGTGTTTGCCCATTTGTTAATCCTCTAGGAGTAAAAGATGGGGAACCTGCAATTATCTTCTCCCCTCAGGAAATTAATGAGCTCAATGAGACAGTTAAATTCACTCTGGTTGGCAAATTCCAGTTTGGCCACCCTAAGATGGATTTGGTAAGGAAATTCTTTGGGGATTTGAAACTAATAGGTGCTTGGAGGCTGGGTCTAATTGATGGAAGGCACCTGTTAATTTCATTATTTAATGAAGAGGACTATGCAAGGGTTTTTTCCAAACAAACTCTAGTTATTAATGGTGTTCCAATGAAGTTAATGAAGTGGACACCTGAATTTGATCCCTCAAAGGAACCCCCTGTAGTTCCCATTTGGTTTAAATTTCCCAACCTACCCATTCAATACTTCCATCAAAATGTTCTTTTCAACATTAGTAGGGTGCTTGGCTGCCCACTGAAAATTGATGCCCCTACCTTTAATATGGCTAGACCTGTTGATGCTAGAGTTTTGGTTGAAAGGGACATTTCCCTACCTGATATATAAAGAGTGTGGATTGGTACTTCTGGAGAAGGCTTTTGGCAGCAAATTGAAATGGAACAAAAGCCAATTTACTGTCAACATTGTAAAATGTTTGGTCATAATGTGGAAAGGTGTTCTAGACTACACCCCCCATCTAAAAGGAAAACTGCTTGGTTCAGCAAGATTCCTAAACCAGTAGAACCATATGGAATGGTAGTGGCAGCGATTGAAACAGCTGATGCTTTGTTAATACTATTGGGATGAATCCCAATAGTAGTGTTGTGGAGCTAGAGGCAGCCAATGGCATTAATAGTAATTTGAAGGGAAATATTATGAGTGATGACAGCTTAATCAATATAATTCCAACTAGAATTGAAGACCAGAGAATTGACAGTTTGACTGATGTCCTAACTGAAGATTGGCAAGTTCAAAGAAGCAGTAAAAAGAAAAAAGGTAAGTTAGAATTTAAACAACCTTTGGAGGGCCCAATTACT